GGGGTGACAGGGAGACTGCTGACATGGATGAAAAATGTTCTAACTGACAGACAGATGAGAGTAGTAATAAGAGACAATGTATCTGACCTGAGGAGTGTTACTAGCAGAGTACCACAGGATTCAGTTCTTGCGCCAGTAATGTTCATTGTCTACGTAAACCATCTACCAGAAGGAATACAGAATTATTTGAATATGTATGCTGATGATGCTTCTGTGTTCTCGTACTAATGTCCTGAGTGGTGTTGAGCCCCTTCTGTGTTCTCGTACTGGCGTCCTGAGTGGTCGTGAGCCCCTTCTGTGTTCTCGTACTGGCGTCCTGAGTGGTGTTGAGCCCCTTCTGTGTTCTCGTACTGGCGTCCTGAGTGGCCGTGAGCCCCTTCTGTGTTCTCGTACTTGTAACACCGTAAAGGGGTTTTGTTTAGTTTTATTTAATATATATATAGTTCATGAGCCACAGGCAAGGATTTGAGAGGCGCCATTCTGTTGGTCTGAAACTCACACCTCTAAGCGTTAATGACCTCAAATTGACCTGAGGTCAGCTCATGCTAATTTCATCTTGCTTCTGCTAATCTGATAATTGTAGCCTGATAGCTTTCAAACAAGCAGCCAGTTTTAGGTGTGGCTTCGTAGAGTGCCTGAGGCTATCTACTTGTGGGCGGAGTTAGCTACTAGGTTCCCCAATATATACTCGGAGAGCTGTAGATGCGAGAGCAATAAGCAATAGGACAACAGAGACAGCACAGCAGCGCAGGGCAGCAGACAGCCCCCGAGATAGGCTGTCGGCTGGACGGGGGGTGACGCTGTCTGTCAACTGCAGACCCTTCCCCCCCCCCCCTCTCTATTCAACTTAGACTCAGTCCTTGGTGAGTGAACGTGAAGGTGACGTAGTCGTGTTTACTAGTGTTGTGTGACTATCAGGGGGGCAGACAGTGGTAATGGTCTCGAATTCTTGGGTAATGACACTTGGTATATTCATGGTGAACCTTCAGTTTGATTGCTTGGATAAATATACTTGATGAATTATGGAGAAATATATACTTGATTCACTTTACTTGTAATCTGCTTTTAATTGTTCCTAGATCTGGGATTTTTGGATACCATATGCAAACTAGAGTATAGAGTACTCCTGAAGTTATTGAGTTAAAGAGTCTTACAGGATACATGATACAGATGAAACATACTAATAATGACCTTTTGATAACATCTTTTGATACAAACAAGTTCCATTCCTTGTCATGTATGTACTGACCAGAATGGATGGTGGCAGCCCTTCTCCTTCTACTATCTACTTTTCTACTTCTAGCTATCTACCCTTCTACCTCTACCACTACTTCCTACTCACTTCCTATTCATCTCCTCCCCTCCGCCTCTCTTCCCCTTTTCCCTTTCACCTGACGACCCCCATACTCCTCCCACCTACTCCTCCTTCCTCTCTACCTCCCTCACCTCCAAACCCTCACTAATTACTTCATTATTCATCTCTTCCCTTTCGTTTCTCTGATACGTTTATGGCAGTGAAATGTTCTATAGTTTTCTCTCTAGAGTTGCGGGTAGCTGATCAAGTCACGGCGCCTTGTAGTTGTAGCACCTAGGTAATCAATTCTCTAGGTTACAAGGTGTTGAGCTAGAGAGGTTGCAGTGGGAACTCTGAGGGAACTCTAGAATAGTTAACTAACTGGGGGCGGGATAACGGACAAAAAAGAGCTGTTTCCCCCGTCCTCGTTAGTTAACTGGGGGGCGGGCGGAATAATGGACTAAAGAGAGCCATTTGCCCCGCCCTACATACTGGTGTCCTAAGTGGTCTTGAGCCCCTTCTGTGTTCTCATATTGGCGTCTTGAGAGGTCTTGAGCCCCTTCTGTGTTCTCACACTGGCATCTTGAGTGGTCTTGAGCCCCTTCTGTGTTCTCATATTGGCGTCTTGAGTGGTCTTGAACCCCTTCTGTGTTCTCACACTGGCATCTTGAGTGGTCTTGAGCCCCTTCTGTGTTCTCACACTGGCATCTTGAGTGGTCTTGAGCCCCTTCTGTGTTCTCATACTGGCGTCTTGAGTGGTCTTGAGCCCCTTCTGTGTTCTCATACTGGCATCTTGAGTGGTCTTGAGCCCCTTCTGTGTTCTCATACTGGCGTCTTGAGTGGTCTTGAGCCCCTTCTGTGTTCTCATACTGGCATCTTGAGTGGTCTTGAGCCCCTTCTGTGTTCTCATACTGGCATCTTGAGTGGTCTTGAGCCCCTTCTGTGTTCTCACACTGGCATCTTGAGTGGTCTTGAGCCCCTTCTGTGTTCTCACACTGGCATCTTGAGTGGTCTTGAGCCCCTTCTGTGTTCTCACACTGGCATCTTGAGTGGTCTTGAGCCCCTTCTGTGTTCTCACACTGGCGTCTTGAGTGGTCTTGAGCCCCTTCTGTGTTCTCACACTGGCATCTTGAGTGGTCTTGAGACCCTTCTGTGTTCTCACACTGGCATCTTGAGTGGTCTTGAGCCCCTTCTGTGTTCTCACACTGCCGTCTTGAGTGGTCTTGAGCCCCTTCTGAGTTCTCACACTGGCATCTTGAGTGGTCTTGAGCCCCTTCTGTGTTCTCACACTGGCATCTTGAGTCGTCTTGAGCCCCTTCTGTGTTCTCATACTGGCGTCTTGAGTGGTCTTAAGCCCCTTCTGTGTTCTCACACTGGCATCTTGAGTGGTCTTGAGCCCCTTCTGTGTTCTCACACTGGCATCTTGAGTGGTCTTGAGCCCCTTCTGTTTCTCACACTGGCATCTTGAGTGGTCTTGAGCCCCTTCTGTGTTCTCACACTGGCGTCTTGAGTTGTCTTGAGCCCCTTCTGTGTTCTCACACTGGCATCTTGAGTCGTCTTGAGCCCCTTCTGTGTTCTCACACTGGCGTCTTGAGTGGTCTTGAGCCCCTTCTGTGTTCTCACACTGGCGTCTTGAGTGGTCTTGAGCCCCTTCTGTGTTCTCACACTGGCATCTTGAGTCGTCTTGAGCCCCTTCTGTGTTCTCACACTGGCGTCTTGAGTGGTCTTGAGCCCCTTCTGTGTTCTCACACTGGCATCTTGAGTGGTCTTGAGCCCCTTCTGTGTTCTCACACTGGCATCTTGAGTCGTCTTGAGCCCCTTCTGTGTTCTCACACTGGCGTCTTGAGTGGTCTTGAGCCCCTTCTGTGTTCTCACACTGGCATCTTGAGTCGTCTTGAGCCCCTTCTGTGTTCTCATACTGGCGTCTTGAGTGGTCTTAAGCCCCTTCTGTGTTCTCACACTGGCATCTTGAGTGGTCTTGAGCCCCTTCTGTGTTCTCACACTGGCATCTTGAGTGGTCTTGAGCCCCTTCTGTTTCTCACACTGGCATCTTGAGTGGTCTTGAGCCCCTTCTGTGTTCTCACACTGGCGTCTTGAGTGGTCTTGAGCCCCTTCTGTGTTCTCACACTGGCATCTTGAGTCGTCTTGAGCCCCTTCTGTGTTCTCACACTGGCGTCTTGAGTGGTCTTGAGCCCCTTCTGTGTTCTCACACTGGCGTCTTGAGTGGTCTTGAGCCCCTTCTGTGTTCTCACACTGGCATCTTGAGTCGTCCTGAGCCCCTTCTGTGTTCTCATACTGGCGTCTTGAGTGGTCTTAAGCCCCTTCTGTGTTCTCACACTGGCATCTTGAGTGGTCTTGAGCCCCTTCTGTGTTCTCACACTGGCATCTTGAGTGGTCTTGAGCCCCTTCTGTTTCTCACACTGGCATCTTGAGTGGTCTTGAGCCCCTTCTGTGTTCTCACACTGGCGTCTTGAGTGGTCTTGAGCCCCTTCTGTGTTCTCACACTGGCATCTTGAGTCGTCTTGAGCCCCTTCTGTGTTCTCACACTGGCGTCTTGAGTGGTCTTGAGCCCCTTCTGTGTTCTCACACTGGCATCTTGAGTCGTCTTGAGCCCCTTCTGTGTTCTCACACTGGCATCTTGAGTGGTCTTGAGCCCCTTCTGTGTTCTCACACTGGCATCTTGAGTCGTCTTGAGCCCCTTCTGTGTTCTCACACTGGCATCTTGAGTGGTCTTGAGCCCCTTCTGTGTTCTCACACTGGCATCTTGAGTGGTCTTGAGCCCCTTCTGTGTTCTCACACTGGCATCTTGAGTGGTCTTGAGCCCCTTCTGTGTTCTCACACTGGCATCTTGAGTCGTCTTGAGCCCCTTCTGTGTTCTCACACTGGCGTCTTGAGTGGTCTTGAGCCCCTTCTGTGTTCTCACACTGGCATCTTGAGTCGTCTTGAGCCCCTTCTGTGTTCTCATACTGGCGTCTTGAGTGGTCTTAAGCCCCTTCTGTGTTCTCACACTGGCGTCTTGAGTGGTCTTGAGCCCCTTCTGTGTTCTCACACTGGCATCTTGAGTGGTCTTGAGCCCCTTCTGTGTTCTCACACTGGCATCTTGAGTCGTCTTGAGCCCCTTCTGTGTTCTCACACTGGCATCTTGAGTCGTCTTGAGCCCCTTCTGTGTTCTCATACTGGCGTCTTGAGTGGTCTTGAGCCCCTTCTGTGTTCTCACACTGGCATCTTGAGTGGTCTTGAGCCCCTTCTGTGTTCTCACACTGGCGTCTTGAGTGGTCTTGAGCCCCTTCTGTGTTCTCATACTGGCATCTTGAGACAAGACTGAGTATTACCTGAGACAAGGCTGAGCATTACCTGAGACAAGGTTGAGTATTACCTGAGACAAGACTGAGTATTACCTGAGACAAGGCTGAGCATTACCTGAGACAAGGCTGAGTATTACCTGAGATAAGGCTGAGTATTACCTGAGACAAGGCTGAGTATTACCTGAGACAAGGCTGAGTATTACCTGAGACAAGGCTGAGTATTACCTGAGACAAGGCTGAGTATTACCTGAGACAAGGTTGAGTATTACCTGAGACAAGACTGAGTATTACCTGAGACAAGGCTGAGTATTACCTGAGACAAGGTTGAGTATTACCTGAGACAAGGCTGAGTATTACCTGAGACAAGGCTGAGTATTACCTGAGACAAGGTTGAGTATTACCTGAGGCAAGTGAGGCACAACAGTGAGGCAGGTGAGGTATGAGGTACCCTCAGCGTGGGTGTACAAGTGACGGAGTTGTGTAAACTGTTTACTGAACCTGGACCGGTGGCCCTCTAGCATCTCCCACGGCAGCCCTGCCGGAGGTAAACCTTGTTACTGTTAGATCTAATGGTTACTGTTACATCTAATGGTTACTGTTACATCTAATGGTTACTGTTAGATCTAATGGTGACTGTTACATCTAATGGTTACTATTAGATCTAATGGTTACTGTTACATCTGATGGTTACTGTTAGATCTAATGGTGACTGTTACATCTAATGGTTACTATTAGATCTAATGGTGACTGTTGCATCTAATGGTTACTGTTAGATCTAATGGTTACTGTTGCATCTAATGGATACTGTTAGATCTATTGGTTACTGTTACATCTAATGGTTACTGTTAGATCTAATGGTTACTGTTAAATCTAATTGTTACTGTTAGATCTAATGGTTACTGTTAGATTTAATGGTTACTGTTACATCTAATGGTTACTGTCACATCTAATGGTTACTGTTAGATCTAATGGTTACTGTTAGATCTAATTGTTACTGTTAGATCTAATGGTTACTGTTAGATCTAATGGTTACTGTTAAATCTAATTGTTACTGTTAGATCTAATGGTTACTGTTAGATCTAATGGTTACTGTTAAATCTAATTGTTACTGTTAGATCTAATGGTTACTGTTAAATCTAATTGTTACTGTTACATCTAATGGTTACTGTTGCATCTAATGGATACTGTTAGATCTATTGGTTAGAACCTGATCTAATAGTTAGTGTTGAACCTGATCTAATGGTCAGTGTTAGAACCTGATCTAATGGTTAGTGTTAGAACCTGATCTAATGGTCAGTGTTAGAACCTGATCTAATGGTTAGTGTTGTACCTGATCTAATGGTTAGTGTTGAACCTGATCTAATGGTTAATGTTGTACCTGATCTAATGGTCAGTGTTAGAACTTGATCTAATGGTCAGTGTTAGAACCTGATCTAATGGTCAGTGTTAGAACCTGATCTAATAGTTAGTGTTGAACCTGACCTAATGGGTAGTGTTGAACTTGATCTAATGGTCAGTGTTAGAACCTGATCTAATGGTCAGTGTTAGAACCTGATCTAATGGGTAGTGTTGAACCTGATCTAATGGTTAGTGTTGAACCTGATCTAATGGTTAGTGTTGAACCTGGTCTAATGGTTAGTGTTAGAACCTGATCTAATGGTTAGTGTTAGAAACTGATCTAATGGTCAGTGTTAGAACCTGATCTAATGGTCAGTGTTAGAACCTGATCTAATGGTTAGTGTTGAACCTGATCTAATGGTCAGTGTTAGAACCTGATCTAATGGTTAGTGTTAGAACCTGATCTAATGGTCAGTGTTAGAACCTGATCTAATGGTTAGTGTTGAACCTGATCTAATGGTCAGTGTTAGAACCTGATCTAATGGTTAGTGTTGATCCTGATCTAATGGTCAGTGTTAGAACCTGATCTAATGGTTAGTGTTAGAACCTGATCTAATGGTCAGTGTTAGAACCTGATCTAATGGTTAGTGTTGAACCTGATCTAATGGTCAGTGTTAGAACCTGATCTAATGGTTAGTGTTAGAACCTGATCTAATGGTCAGTGTTAGAACCTGATCTAATGGTTAGTGTTGAACCTGATCTAATGGTCAGTGTTAGAACCTGATCTAATGGTTAGTGTTGAACCTGATCTAATGGTCAGTGTTAGAACCTGATCTAATGGTTAGTGTTAGAACCTTATCTAATGGTCAGTGTTAGAACCTGATCTAATGGTTAGTGTTGAACCTGATCTAATGGTTAGTGTTGAACCTGATCTAATGGTCAGTGTTGAACCTGATCTAATGGTCAGTGTTAGAACCTGATCTAATGGTCAGCGTTAGAACCTTGTATAATGATTATTGAACAGTTGCATTAGGTGAAAGGAAATGTACCCGGACGTCTCTATCCTGACACGGGAATCGAACCCGCGACTTATCGCTTATGAGCCATTAAGTAACCACAACAATAATAATAATAACAATAACAATGATAATAAAAATAATAATAGCAATAATAATAATAATAATAATAATAATAATAATAATAATAATAATAATAATAATAATAATAATAATAATAATATCAGCACAGCGTAAGATGTGGAATAAACAGTTAAAAACTAAGACTTGAAAGAAATTGGGATAAATATTTTTTTTTTAAATCACAAAATCGTCAAATTAAACGAAACTAGACATTAACAACATAAATCTAAGCCTACAACGAAAGCCAAACCAGTAAAGACAACGATATTTGTTTACACTGAAGAGAGTTACGTGAGAGACAGACCTTGATGAAGCTTGTTGAGGAGCGCGAGAGTCATGTCGTACAGGCAAGACGACTCTTGTATACAGGGAACCAGCGGGGCCAGGAGGCACTCCCTGTGGCCAGGTTTACTAGTGCTGCCTGGAGCTGCTCCCTTCACGGACAGTATCACTGTAAGGACGGTAAACAGTGTTAGGCTACAGTCAGCTATACTGCTGCCTGCAGCTGCTTCCCTCACGGACAGTATCACTGTAAGGACGGTAAACAGTGTTAAGCTACTGACGGTCACTGTATACTTTAAACTTACAGTGATAAAGCTGTGAAAGAACAGAAACAGTGAAACAACTTACAAACGGCAACTGAATTCAACAGCTTCTTTTCATCAATTGGTGCAAACCTTGCCAGAAAAATCCCAGAGACCCAGAAACACGTTACTACATATCTCACCGGCAGCTATCCTAACTCTCTACTCCTTTTACCAGCCAGCCCGACAGACATTATATCCATAATTCAATCACTTAAAACCAAAGCTGGGAACATTAGTGAAATACCATCTATGGTATATAAGTGCTGCTCTTGCTCTTGCATCATCCATAGCTCTGCTATTCAACAAATCTCTAAAGTGTCACACTTTTCCTGATATTCTTAAACAAGAAAGAGTAACGCCAGCTCATAAAGGAGGCGAGACAGCTGACATAGACAATTACAGACCAATATCAAATCTACCTATACTCACAAAGATTTTTTTCTTTACAAACAGCTCTTTTCTTACCTTGTAAAATTCAACGTATTATTAAGTCCCTGCCAGTTTGGCTTCCGTTCCCAAAAGAGTACCAACGATGCCATTATTAGTCTGCTTGACTTAATCTACTCAGCCCTTGACAAAAATGAATTTCCGATTGAACTCTTCATTGACCTGAGCCTTTGATACTGTTAACCATAACTACCTCTTACTTAAACTTCACCATTATGGAATCCGAGGTATTGCTCTGGACTATATTCGTTCCTATCTTAGTGACAGACACCAGTATGTAGCCATCAATGATATAACCTTCCCCACTCTGCCTTTATCAATTGGGGTGCCATAGGGCAGCATCCTAGGATCTCTCCTATTTTACCTGAGGACCACCAACACTAGTGGCCTCGATGAGGACAGGAAACCGACGGATTGTCAAAGCTTAATAAAAGGTTAATAAACTTCATGTAACCTACCTTACCCCCTAAATATCAACCCATGTCTTGCTAAATATCAACCCATTGTTTTTAAACAATGCTGTCTGTTGACCAACTTGTTTAACTGCTGATTTCCACCATGTTCCCCCCCCCCCCCCCCCCCCCTCCCCCCCCCCCCCCTTTTCACTTTTTTAACTCAATTTATGCTTTCATCTCAATTAGTATTAAGTTTTAGTCTAAGTATTTTTAAATTTTTTCCCCACACCTTGCCCAAAACGCTGTGCATATTAGAGACTTTAGGCTTTGTATGCACTTGCTCCATCTATAAATCCAAAATTGTGTTTGTAATTCATTTTGTATGGATGTGCTTTTACCTGAATAAATATTTGATTTGTTTTTATGTTATTTGAGCTAATTTCATTGTAATTGTTTATATACATCAATGATTTGCCAAATGTTTCCAATATTCTTAAACCTATATTCCCCTCCGTGGTGCCTCCTTGCCGTGGTGAGGGGCTCACGTACACCTCCCTGGGACCGGTGTGGGTTGCCTTTGCCCCCTCTTTGGGTGGTGTACGTGCTGAAGGGCACCACATAGGGGCCTTGTGAGCCATCGGACTACCTGCTGGAGGGGCCACCCTGAGTGGATGGTTGGGTGTCCAGGCTGGGGCGATAGGGGAACTGGGGTCTTAGCACCAGTGTGGGAGAATGGACGATGTAGTAGGACTCCCCTGTTGAAAAGGGGGAGCACCGCTGGGAACGACGCACCCTTCCTGCACTGGCCCACGCTCGGCCTCCCTGGCTGCCCTGGTAGGTGGTATCCCTTGGTTCCAGGTCCCAAACTTTTGAAATTGTTTGCTGCATAGATGACGACACGACTTCTCTTACCCAGGCTCATGGAGTGGGCAACCAGGCCCCTGAGTCGGACCGTCCTGGAAGACCGGGCTCTGTAGCCCCCGCTACAGGGCCCGGTTTAAGCCCAGACCGGACTTTTCCCTCCCTCCTCTGTGGTTGGGTCGAGCCCCAAGCCTGCTGTGGTGACCGCCTTGTCCACTACTGCGCCTTTTGACCCGTCTCTCTCTCAAGGTTCTCATCGCCGTCCCCGCCACGGCCGCTCTGTTATGCACCCTTCCCATACTAATTCGTACCATACTTTGTTTGGTCCTGCTACATGGACTAAGTACTTTGACCTCCAACCTTTGGATTCAACTCCTCCTGACGATTTTTCCCTTCATAGGCATCTTGTAGATTCAGTAGATGCCTCTGTTACCTTTAACTACACCCGTCTTGGTACCCGTGTCGTTGCTGCTCCTTCTCAGGATGCAGCCACTTGCTTGGCCGCCTTATCCTGCATTGGCGAGACCCCTGTTCGGGTCTCAAAGAATGCTCGGTTGAATACCAGTGTGGGCACTGTTCTCCCGCACCACGTTGTGACTGGTGTTAGTAATCTAAAAGACTGCCACAAGGATATCAAGCATATCCTGGAGGCCCAGGGTCATTCTGTCCTCCAGGTGGATACGTTTACTCGTCCCCCTTGTGGTCATCGCCGTCTGCCCCTTCGGGTTGGGAAGGTTACCTTTGATAGTCGGACCCTTCCGCCCTCTGTCATTCTTGCTGGTGCCAGATGCTCCGCTCAGGAGTATATTCCGTCTCCTCGGCTCTGCAATAAGTGCTGGAGGTTTAGGCATGGTGCCCTCAAGTGCTCTAGTCCTGTCTCCCTCTGTCCCATGTGTGGAGGCGAGAGTCACTCTTAAGTTGGAGTGCACTTCTCCCCAGGCCCGCTGCCTCAATTGCGGTGAGGCCCACCCTACCTTCTCCCGCACGTGTATACGTAACAAACTTGAGGCAGCTGTTCTCAACTTGAAGCACCGAGACCGTTTGTCTTTTCCTGAGGCTCGGCGCCAAGTTCATCGTCTCCCCTCTTTCGCTGGTCTCTTATGCTCACGTGGTGCGCTCTTCCTCTCCTCGTCCTTCCCACCTTCCTCAGTCTCACAACCGTTTCCAAGCCTTAAACCCGGACATGCCCACCACCTCCTCCCCTGTTTCCTTCCGTTCTCTCCCGGAGGGTCCCCCTCCTAATTCTCTGTCTAGGGTTCCCCTTCTTTCTACCTAGTCTATCATGTCTCCTGTGTCTTCTTTCTCCTCTCCCTCTGGTCCTCCTTCCCATCCTTCTTCCCCGTCTCTTGGCTCTCCACGCCACCTGACTGTGCAGGCCCATGTCTATCGCTCTTCCGGTGGTCAGATTGTTCGCTCTCGCTCTTCTTCTCCTATTGAGACGCTGGAGTCTGTTGCCCAGTACATTGCTGCTGGGATGCCTGTCTCTTTGAGTCAGAAGCGGAAACCTGGCTCCTCTCCTTCCTCCTCCCCGGTAGGTAAGAAGGCTTCGCTTTCTTCTTCGCCCCTATCTCTGATTCTATCATTCCTTCCCCTCCCGCTTCGGTGGTAGAGCCCCCTGTTCCTACTGTGAAGGTTTCTTTCGCCCCCGGTTCCGTCTCGGTTACTGCCCTTGCTGAGGGCAAGGGCAGTCCCCTCTTTCTGCCCCTCCTTCTCCTGCTCTCCTTGCCCGCCCCTCTCGGTTGTCTCCTCCTCCTCCTCCTCCTCCAATTCCTCCCCCTCCTCCAGACCCTGCTTGTCCACCTCTGGTCTGTCCTCCTGCTTCTTTCCCTCTTCTTTATTCAGTTTACCCATGCCCTTTAACCCTGACTTCGCTGACCCTGATCCTGACCCTGTTCTTCTTTAACGTGCTGTGTTCCTTTTTAACCTTTCTTTTTTCTTTGCTCTCTGTTGCTATCCTTTCTCTTTTTGTCGATGTCTATTCTTCAGTGAAACATCCGTGGATATTACGCCAATTTCCTTGACCTCCAACTTCTAATTTCACAGCTTTTGCCCCTTTGTGTCTGTCTCCAGGAGCCGATGCTTGGTGCTCGTCCTGGTCCCCCCTCCCCCCCCCCCAGCTGTAGATGGGGCCCATAACTCTTCTGCTCTCTTGATTCGCTTGGACGTTCCCTTCGTCCCCCTTACTTTTTTCATCGCTTCTCCACTGTTTTGCTGCCCGTGTCTTATGGTACACAGTTTGTTCCATTTATCTCCCCCCCTAGTGCCCCGCTTTCTCTTCCCGATCTTAAACACCTCCCAGACTCCTTGCCAGAGCCTGTGCTTCTGCTGGGTGATTTTAATTGTCGTCATGGCTTCTGGGGTGATGTGCTGACAAACACCCGGGGTCACCTCCTTGATCCTTTCATCCTCTCTTCTTCCCTGTCTCTACTGAATTCTGATGAGGCCACTCATTTGGACTCTCGGAGTTGCTCCCTTTCATGTCTCGATCTTTCTCTGCGCTCGTCATCCCTTTCCTTAGATTTCGGGTGGCGGGTCCTTGATGACCTCCATGGCAGTGACCATTTTCCTATCCTTGTTACTTTTTTCTCTTTTCACCCTCCTCTCTCCTTCCCTAGGTGGCGGTTTGCCGAGGCTGACTGGCGCCTCTTTACTCTCCCGTGCTACTATTTCCGACCTCTCCGATCTGCCTCTCCCTCGCGCCCTCCTTCTTTTTCATGACACTGTCTTTGACGCTGCCCTCCGCTCTATTCCTCGCTCTTCCTCTCGGGGAACGCGAAAGTGCGTTCCCTGGTGGAATGTGGACTGTGCTCGGGCTCTCCGCTGTAAGCGTGCAGCCTGGAAGAAGCATCGCCGCAGACAGTTGAGTCTTTTCTTCTGTTTCGGAAGGAAAGTTCAGTGGCCAATAGGACCATCCGTGCGAGTAAACATGCATGCTGGATGTCTTATGTCTCCACCGTTACGTCCGAAACTCCTCTGCCACTGGTCTGGAAGCGTATCCGCAAGATAGCGGGTAAGTTCATTCCCGATGTCTTGCCGGTCCTTCGCCTCCATGGTGCTTTTGTGGCGGACCCGTTGTAGGTCGCGACCGAACTGGGTTCCCACTTTTCATCTGTTAATTCTGGTTCTCATCTTCCCCAATCCTTCCTTCTTCATAAGCCTATTCTTGAATCTCGCCATTTAGATTTCGGTACCCATCTTTGCCTTCCCTATAACGATGCCTTCTCTCTCTCTGAGCTTAAGTCTGCCCTGGCCCTCTGCGGTTCTACGGCGGCAGGCTCCGATGGTATTCATTATGAAATGCTTCGCCATCTCCCTCCGTGCACGTCTCAGTATTTACTGAGTCTGTACAGTCGGGTCTGGGAGTCGTCGTCAGTCCCTGAGGACTGGCTCGATGCTGTTGTCCTCCCTGTTCGGAAACCAGGGTCTCTCGGGTCATCCCCCCAAGGACTTCTGCCCTATTGCCCACACGAGTTGTGTTTGCAAGCTCTTTGAACGTATGGTTAACGTTCGTTTGATGTGGTTCTTAGAACACTATCACCACCTCTCCCCTTTCTCAATTTGGTTTTCGCAAGTGCCGCAGCACAACGGATGTCTTGGTGAACTTGGAGGTCTATATTCGTACTGCTTTTGCTCCGAAGACCTCCGTTGTTGCCGTCCTTTTTGACCTGGAAAGGCTTACGACACTTCCTGGCGGTATCATATTCTGTCTCAACTACATTCTTATGGCCTTCGTGGGAATCTCCCTCTCTTTCTCCAGAGTTTTCTCTCTCGTCGTTCCTTTCGTGTGAGGCTTGGTACCACTCTCTGTGCCCCTTTTCGGCAGTATGAGGGTGTACCCCAGGGTAGTGTTCTGAGCACTACTCTTTTTCTAGTTGCTCTCAAAGGTCTTCTTTCCTCTCTTCCTTCTGGCGTTTTTTCCGCTTTCTATGTTGACGATCTTACTCTTTGCTGTCGGGGTGATGATTCGCCTCTCCTTCAACAGCGGCTTTAACTTGCGATTGATGCCGTGTAGTCTTGGGCTACTGATCATTTCTTCAAGTTCTCTGTGTTTAAGGCTTGTGCTATGACTTTTACTCGAAAGCATGTCGTTCTTCGTCCCTCTTTGTCGCTTTATGGTCATCCCATTGTGTACAGGGATTCCGCTAAGCATTTGGGGTTAGTCTTTGACACTCGTTTGTCTTGGTCAGCCCATGTCTCTTACCTCCGAGTTGAATGTTCTAAGGCCCTTAACCTACTTAAGGTTTTGTCCCTTACTTCTTCGGGAGCGGATAGGCGCATGCTCCCCTATTTGTACTCCTCTCTGGTCCTGTCTAAACTCAATTATGGTTGCCCTGCATACTCTTCTGCTTCACCTACTCTTCGCTGTCTTGATGCTTTGCACCAAACTGGGTTGCGTCTCAGCTCTGGTGCCTTTCGTTCGATTTCCGCCCTCAGTTTGTATGTTGACACTGGCTTCCTCTCTCTCCAGGACCGCCGTGATCGCTACTGTCTTCGCTATCTTGCACGGTCCTTACAACATCCTTCCTCTTGCCTCTGTCGTGCTTTAACTTTTACCCTTCCTGTGGTTCCTGTTCCTCTTCATCACCTCCCTCTTTCTGTCCGTCTATCTCGCTTACAGGGTTCTCTTTCCGTTCGTATTTCTAATGTTTCTCCTCGTGTTGTTCCTTCCTTGCCTCCGTGGAGAGTCCCCCTTCCAAAGTTTTGTACATCCTTGACCCGCATCACTAAAGATTTTACCCCTCCTACAGTTCTGAAACGCCTTTTCCTTGAGCACTTTTCTTCGCACTCCCACTCTGTTTCCATCTTCTCTGATGGGTCTAAGTCTGCGAACTATGTGGGCTACTCTGTTGTTTTTCCTGATCGCACTTATATGTGTCGCCTCCCTTCGGAGGCTAGCGTCTTCACAGCAGAACTTTATGCTATTCTCTATGTTCTGCATCTTCTGCTTTCTCATTGTTGATCCTTCTTTGTGGTTGTAGTTGACTCTCGTAGTGCCCTCATGGCTCTAAGGTCCTTTAATCCTGTCCATCCGGTAGTCATCGAGATTCAATATTGGCTGTTTTTTATTTCTAGTAAATTTAAATCAGTAGAGTTTTGTTGGGTTCCCAGCCATAATGGTGTTTCTTTAAATGAGCGTGCGGATGCTGCCGCTAGGGAAGCTATCCGTTCTTGTCCCATCTCCCGTAAAGGTATTCCTTATTCCGACTTTTATCCTGTTATTCACTCCTCTATCCATGCCCGTTAGCAGGGTTGTTGGTCTTCTGTAGTTGGTAACAAGCTGCGTACTCTCAAACGTAGTGTGTCCCCGTGGCCTTCCTCCTGCCACCGTAGCCGGCTGTGGGAAACTGCTCTAGCAAGATTGCGTTGTCCCTCTTACAGTTGTGCATATCCTTGTTGAATGTCCTGACTTCCAGGACGTGCGGGTGTCTTGCTTTCCGACCGTCCCTCTCGGTCATTTGTCCCTCGATAGAATTCCTTGTGAATCAGATACTTTTGATATCGTTCGCCTTATGCGTTTCTGTTCTCTTATTGGCATTCTTCGTGATATTTAGCGCCTTCTGATTATTTCGCACTTTGATGGTGCTACATAGCCTTCCCGGTTTGGTGCCTTCTTTTGATAATTACTTAATTAAACCTATATTATTTGCTGACGGCACTACCCTCATCTACTCAGACCCCAACCCACACACACACTAAATAATGTTGCAAATAATGATTTAAAAAAAGTCCACTTATGAATGTCAACCAACAAACTCACATTGAACATATAAAAGACCTACTACATCTTATTTGGTAGTAAGTCTTCCAATCAAATTTACCTTCAGATAGACAATGTTAACATCAGCAATAAAATAGATGGAAAGTTCCTTGGCCTATACATTGCCAAGAGACTCAACTTCAGCACCCACGTACAACACATAACCAATAGCCTCAAAAACGCTTGGTATACTCTCTACAATTAGATATTATGTTCCAAAGTCTGCTCTCCTCTCACTATACTACGTGCTAATCTATCCCTATCTTACATACGGTATCTGTGCATGGAGCTATCATAGCCTCAAGATCACTTTTACTGCAGTACCTCATCCCCGGACCTTCTGCACCACGTCCACTCACAACCACCACACACCTGCATCAGTCAGTGTCAGGAGGTCTTCCATATACTCCAACATGTCGACGGCCAATTCAAAACTGCAAGGAGTATATAATTCCCATTATATATATATATATATATATATATATATATATATATATATATATATATATATATATATATATATATATATATATATATATATATATATATATATATATATATATATATATATATATTCTCAAGTCAATCGACTTGAGAATGGTCCAGGACGGACCGAAACGTCGTCGTCCCTTCAATTTCTAGTGTGTGGTCTGGTCAAAATATATATATATATATATATATATATATATATATATATATATATATATATATATATATATATATATATATATATATATGTCGTACCTAGTAGCCAGAACGCACTTTTTGGCCTACTATTCAAGGCCCGATTTGCCTAATAAGCCAAGTTTTCCTGAATTAATATATATTCTCTAATTTTTTTCTTATGAAATGATAAATCTACCCTTTTCATTATGTATGAGGTCAATTTTTCTTTATTGGAGTTAAAATTAACGTAGATATTTGACCGAACCTAACCAACCCTACCTAACCTAACCTAACCTATCTTTATAGGTTAGGTTAGGTTAGGTAGCCGAAAAAGTTAGGTTAGATTAGGTTAGGTAGGTTAGGTAGTCGAAAAACAATTAATTCATGAAAACTTGGCTTATTAGGCAAATCGGGCCTTGCATAGTAGGCTGAGAAGTGCGTTCTGGCTACTAGGTACGACATATATATATATATATATATATATATATATATATATATATATATATATATATATATATATATATATATATATATATATATATATATATATATATATATATATATATATATATTTATGTAACAAGGTTCAAATAAAGCAAATATATATGTGTACATACAAAAGAATGGGGGTGGTAGGAGAAGATAATATTGGTGTTCAGTGGAGAGACCACAAGGTCTCCTCTGAATACTTTGTATTTTCTTCTCCGAGGCTATGGGTCCCCACATTGGCACCAGAGGTGGTACCCTCACACACTTTATATATATATATATATATATATATATATATATATATATATATATATATATATATATATATGTGTGTGTGTGTGTGTGTGTGTGTGTGTGTGTGTGTGTGTGTGTGTGTGTGTGTGTGTGTGTGTGTGTGTGTGTGTGTGTGTGTGTGTGTGTGTGTGTGTATGTACTGCTTAACATAATTTTTTTAGGCTACAAAAAGAATCAATAATAATAATGAGAAAAACAGTAGGATTAGGGTTCGAACCTATGTGGTGGATGTTAAAACACACACGCTCTAGCAACTACACCATGACATGGTAATAAAGATTGCAACCTGCAGTTCTACTGAACACACAAGGATTTGCAGAGGCTTCTACTGAAGCCAGAACAGAATTTTCACACAATCCCTCCATGTACTTGGGAACACCCACTACACAGGTTCGAACCCTCAGCACTGTTCCTACTGATTTTCTCATTGATGCAGTCATGTTAATGTTATATACTCTGTGTAATGATAATAATAATACTAAGAAGAAAAATAATAATAAGAGGAAAATATAATAATAATAATAATTTTTCCCCAAGAAGGTACAATAGGTTGGTAAGATTATATAAGATTGGTATTTGTACATTCATGCGAAGCCACTAACAGGCATAGCATTTCCGGCAGGTTCTTAATCTAACATATCAGATAAGATGAAATGGTACATTGTAACAAGGTTTTTATATCAACAAATAACTACAATATAAGTTGCCAGAGGTGATTACACTGGTGAAGACATATGTCTTAAGTACTAATATTTGGGAAGTGGGAAGTACAAGACACAGTGTGAGTTTGAAGCACATTAAGGTAGGAAACTGTCATGATGAAATTAGGTACTTAATAATAGTAATAATAATAATAATAATAATAATAATAATTAGTAATAATAATAATAATAATAATAATTAATAATAATAATAATAATAATAATAATAATAATAATAATAGTAATTAATAATAATAATAATAATAATAATAATAATAATAATAATAATAATAATAATAATAATAATAATAATAATAATAATAATAATAATAATAATAATAATAATAATAATAATAATAATAATAATAATAATAATAATAATAAATAATAATAATAATAATAATAATAATAATAAGAATAAGAATAATAATAATTAATAATAATAATAATAATAATAATAATAATAAGAATAAGAATAAGAATAAGAATAAGAATAATTAATAATAATAATAATAATAATAATAATAATAATAATAATAATAATAATATCCAAACCAAACCAAACTTTTTGGTTTTACTTTTGAATTAGGCATAGCTTGGACAATTTTTTAATTCATCAGTCAGTGGGTTCCATAGACTGGATCCCTTATTTGCCTGGAGTGTTTGCACAGATTTTGTTTGACTCTGGGGATATCAAAGGGATATTTATTTCTGGTGTGGTGATAATGGGTCCTATTACACCTATCAAGGAAAAGTTTCAGATCAAGATCATCATTCAGGAACAAGGTTTTGTACATGTATATGGCACATGAGAATGTGTGGAGTGAGTGTATGTTTAACATGTTAATGGACTTAAACAAGAGGGCTGAGTTTTGTCTGAAAGCCGAGTTTGTCATTGTTCTCATAGCAGATTTTTGCTGGGTGATGATGGGCTTGAGGTAGTTTGCAGTGGTTGAACCCCCATGCACAGATACCATAAGTAAGATAGGGATAGATTAGTGCATAATATAGTGAGAGGAGAGCAGAGTTTGGAACATAATATCTGATTTTGGAGAGTATACCAACCGTTTTTGAGACTTTCTCTGTTATGTGTTGTATGTGGGTACTGAAGTTGAGTCTCTTGTTTAGGAATAGGCCGAGAAACTTTCCATCATTTTTATTGCTGATGTTAATGTTGTCTATCTGAAGCTGAATTTGATTGGAAGATTTACTTCCAAATTAGATGTAGTAGATGTGTTTTATGTGTAGTGTGAGTTTGTTGGTTAATATCCATGAGTGGACTTTTTTGTTAATTCAATATTTACAATATTATTTAGTATGTGGGGGTTGGGGTCTGAATAGATGAGGGTACTATCATCAGCAAATAGTATAGGTGTAAGAATGTTAGAGACATTAGGTTTATTTTATTTATTTATTTATTTATTTATGCATATACAAGAAGGTACATTGGGAATGTGAGGATACATAATATGGTAATTACAGTCTTGTAAAGCCACTAGCACGCGCAGCGTTTCGGGCAGGTCCTTAATCTAAGAAAATTTTAAGTAGGTAAATACTTGCAAAATTTATAGACAAAAAAAATGATAACAGTTACATGGAATGAAAAAAAAAGATGAGAGAAAATTGTAGGTACAGTATATTAAAGCACATAGGTAGCTAAGATTGATTGCAATGACAGCTTGAATGGTAGTTGACAAAAATTGGTAGGCACAATACAGCATATGGCTAGCACATAAAAGAAGACAGCAATGAACACAATGATAAGGTTGTTTGATAAGGTTGTTGTCTAAATCCAGCTCATAAAAATTGGGAGATTGGGTAACACTAGATACAGAGCAAATTTAAAGCTCAGTGTAGAAAACTAAGAAGATGAAATTAGGTACTTTTTGGTTTTGCTTTTAAATAAGGCAAAAGTTTTACAGTTTTTCAATTCACTAGGGAGTGAGTTCCATAGACTAGGTCCCATAATTTGCATAGAGTGTTTACACAGATTAAGTTTGACCCTGGGGATATCAAAGAGATATTTATTTCTGGTGTGGTGATAATGGGTCCTATTACATCTGTCCAGGGAGAGTTTCAGAGCATGGTTTGCATTTAAGAACAGGGTTTTGTAAATGTAGTTGACACAAGAGAATGTGTGGAGGGAGTTAATATTTAGCAAGTTTAGGGATTTAAACAAGGGAGCTGAGTGTTGTCTGAAAGCAGAGTTAGTTATTATTCTGATAGCAGATTTTTGCTGTGTGATGATGGGCTTAAGGTGGTTTGCAGTGGTAGACCCCCATGCACAGATACCATAATTAAGATAGGGGTAGATTAGTGCATAATATAGTGAGAGGAGAGCAGAGTTAGGAACATAATATCTGATTTTGGAGAGTATACCAACTGTCTTAGAGACTTTCTTAGTTATGTGTTGAATGTGGGTGCTGAAGTTGAGTCTCTTGTCTAGGAATAGGCCAAGAAACTTGCCATCATTTTTATTACTGATGTTAATGTTGTCTATCTGTAGCTGAATTGCATTTGATGATTTGCTTCCAAATAAGATGTAGTAAGTCTTTTCGATGTTTAATGTTAGTTTGTTCGTTGACATCCATAAGTGGACTTTTTTTAATTCATTATTCACAACATTATTTAGTGTATGTGGGTTGAGGTCTGAATAGATAAGGGTAGTATCGTCAGCAAACAATATAGGTTTGAGAATATTAGAGACATTAGGCAGATCGTTTATATATATAAGAAATAGAAGAGGTCCTAAGATACTGCCCTGTGGCACTCCAACGGTAATTGGTAGAGTGGAAGAAGTTGTATCATTGATGGTTACATATTGGTGTCTGTCACTAAGATAGGATCGGATGTAGTCAAGGGCAAGGCCTCGGATTCCATAATGCTGGAGTTTAAGTAAGAGGTAGTTGTGATTAACAGTATCAAAGGCTTTTCTTAGGTCAATGAAGAGTCCAATCGGAAACTCATTTTTGTCAAGGGCTGAGTAGATAACGTCAAGGAGACTAATGATTGCATCGTTGGTGCTCTTTTGGGACCGGAAGCCAAACTGGCAGGGGCTGAGTATGTCGAATTTTACGAGGTAGGAATAGAGCTGTTTGTAAATAATTTTTTCAAATATTTTTGATAGAATGGGTAGATTTGATATTGGTCTATAATTGTTTATGTCCGCCGGATTGCCTCCTTTATGGACTGGCGTTACTCTTGCTTTTTTGAGGATATCAGGGAAGGTGTGACACTCTATAGATTTGTTGAACAGTAGTGCTATGGGTGGGGCAAGGGCATGG